AAAGTGAATTTGCTCTGTAAACTTTCACCCAAATCACAATAATAAAAAAATATATATATATTCAGAATTGGATTTCTCCTTTATTGCTTTGGCTTTGCTTAATTTCTAAATTATCTTTATTTTTATTAAAGTGTGTTTTATAGAGTACAATAAATGGATCCTAAGAATAGAGTTTGATTATTTTCCCATTCTGTTGGATCACCTTTCTTTGGAATGGGCACAAATATGGATCCTTTACAGTTGGTTGGCTACGTAGCTATCTTCTAAATATCTTGGCATAAATGAGTACTTCCAGCACTTCTTCCATTTGTCGAAACATCTCAATGAGTAAGTAATCTGTCAATTCCTGGAGCCTTGTTTTTCACCAATTCCTTCAGGGCAGCTTGGACTTCTTCCATTAGCACCATCAATTCTTGATAATATGCTGCCTCCTGAAATGGTGGAATGTTGGCCAATTCTTTTTGGTACAATGACTTGTGTATTCCTTTCATCTTCCTTTGACGCTTCCTGCATTGTTCAATATTTTGCCCATAGAATCCTTCAATATCACAACTCAAGTCTTGAAGTTTTTCATCAGTTCTTTCAGCTTGAGAAATGCCAAGCATGTTCTTCTCTAGTGATTTTCTAACTCCAGTCTTTGCATATTTCATTATAATACTTTAATTTGTCATCAAGAGCTGTCCTTTGAAATCTTCTGTATAGCTATTTTACTTCAGCATTTCTTCCAATCACTTTAGCTACTCTTTGTTCAATAGCAAGTTTCAGAGTCTCTTCAGATATCCATTTTGATCTTCTCTTCCTTTCCTGTTTTTTTAAGACCTTTGGCTTTCTTCCTGTATGATGTTCTTTATGTCATCCCACAGCTTATCTGGTATTCGGTAACTGTTGTTCAATGCATCAAATCTATGCTTCAGAGGGTCTCTAAATTTGGGTGGGATATACTGGGATATACTCATAGTCATAGTTTGGCTCTCATGGACTTGTCTGATTTTTTTCAGCTGCAACTTAAACTTGCATATGAGCAATTGCTGGTCTGTTCCACAATCGGCTCCTGGCCTTGTTCTGACTGATGATATTGAGTTTCTCCAGAGTCTCTTTTCACAGATGTAGTGTGAGACCACACGTTTGTACTAATGCCCTCCCGGTAATTATTCTTTAACTAGGAGCCATTAGTGCCGGAAACCCCAGCACGTTCCCCACGCCTCAGGGCTTTACCTCACAGAGTCCTAAAACCCCCTCCCCTCCTTTTCTACCCCCTAGTAACAACCAATCAGTAAATATCAGAAAAAAACTTGAAATTCCTAGAAACGGCAGTTTGTGGCCTCGGCCACAGGACAGAGCCAATCAACTAGAGACAACGTGCAATTCGAAAAATGACAACCAATCCTGTAATTTTCTGATTGAAATTTCCCCGTTCCTGCTCCATCCCTGGTAAAAGACCCCCTTCCCCTTTGTTTGGGGCTCTCAATCGTAAACCGCTGCGTTGGTGACGGTTGAGGTCCAAGCTCGAGCTTGAATAAACAACCCCTATGCTTTTGCGGTGGAATCGGCTCCTTGGTGGTTTTTGGGGATTCAAGAACTGGGCACAACAGTAGTCCATTTGATTCCTGTGTATTCTATCTGATGCAATGCTACAACACAACGCACTGCCAGCAACTCAGATCTGATTCATAGTGACCCCTCCTTGAGTTTCCAAGGCAGTATCACCACGGAAGTAGATTCCCCAATCTTCCTTCCGAGGAGTGGCTGAGGTACATGTATACAATCACCATTTATATTGTTGAAAATAGGTATTTGCAATAAGTGGTTGGTCATGAAAAATTCTATCATGTGATCTCCAGAGTCATTTCTATCACTATCAATTTTTTTTTTCCAGAAATATCCCTGGCCACATCCTTCTTCTTAGTCTGTCTTAGTCTGGAAGCTCCACTGAAACATGTCCACAATGGGTGTCCTGCTGGTATTTGAAATACTAGTTGCATAGCTTTCAGTACCACAGAGACATACAAGTCACCACAGTATGACAAACTGACAGATAGATGTCTGGTGGTAAAATTTTTCTGAAGATAATTGAAAAATAACTGCAGAAGTATATCCACAGGGAACTACCAGATTTTCAAGCTGGATTCAGAAGAGGATGTGAAATGTAACATATCATTGTTGATGCCAGATGGATCTTGGCTGAATGCAAAGAAAACCAGAAAGGCATTTTTTAAAAGGTTTTTTATTTTAAAACCGGTGCTTTATTGACTGCACAAAGGTTTTTGACTATGTATCATAACAAATTATGAATAACATTGCAAAGAATGGGAACTCCAGAACACTTAATTGTGCTCATGAGGAACCTGTACAAAGCCCCAGAAGCAGTCTTTCGAACAGAATGAGGGAATACTGCATGGTTTAAAATCAGGAAAGGTGTGCATCAAGGTTGTATCCTTTCACAATAATTATTCAATTTGTGTGCTGAGCAAATAATCTGAGAAGATGGCCTATATGAAGAAGAATGTGGTCAGGATTGGTGGAAGACTCATCAAAAACCTGTGATATGCAAATGGGCACAACCTTGCTTACTGAAAGTGAAGATGACTTGAAGCACTTACTGATGAAGATCAAAGACTACAATTAAGAATCAGGTTGCTTCACAGGTTCACCTTTCATTTTTAAGTAATTTTACTCACATAGAAGTTCCAAAAACAGTACAGAATTCCCCTGGATCCCTCCTCCAGTTATTTTAATGATAGAATCTTACATAGCCCAAGCACAATGATCAAAACTAGGAAACTGATATAGACAGAATACCATTAATTAAACAACAGATCTTACTCTGATTTCGACAGTTTTTACACACATTCATTTTGTTGTTGTTGTAAAACTCTATGAAATTTGATCACATATTAGGTTCATATAACCCCACTACAATCAGCATGCAGAACTGTTCCATCACCTGGAACACACGCCCTTGTGCTCACCTTCACTACATATAACCCCTGTCAACCACTGCTTTCTTCTCCACCCTATAATTTTGTCACTTTAAGGGTGCTATATAAATGGAATAACACTTTTCACTCAGCATACTGCCATTGACATTTATCAAAGTTGCTGTATCCATTAATGGGCCATTCATTTTTATTGTTGAATTGTATTACATTCATTGTATGGACATACCACAATATATTATTCATTCACCCATTGGGTTGTTTCTACTAGTTAGTCATTGCAAATAAAGCTGATATAGTCCTCTTTCTATCTGGTAATACTCTTTAACTTAAGGTCTGTATGTCTGATAATAATACAGCATTGCACTTTTTTATGATTACAAAAAAATAGCCAAACTCACTGCTGTCCAGTCAAATCCTACTCATAGCGACACCTCCTTGGGTTTCCAAGCTGGTATCTCGGTGGAAGTAGATTGCCCAACCTTCCTTCTGAGGAGTGGCTGGTTGGTTTGAACCACCAGCCATCTTCTGGTTAGCAGTCAAATGCCTTAGGTACAGTATTTTCTTTCATCTTTTACTTTCAGTCTATCTGTATTTTATACTTGATATACTTCTCTTGTAAACAGGATATATTTAAGATTTTCTTTTTTATCCAGTCTGACAATATCTGAGTTTAAATAGGAGCTTCTATCTCTTTCCATTTAATGTATTTACTTATGTGGTTAGGGTAAATACCTCTTTGTTTTCTTTTACTTTTTTATCCCATCTATTCTTTGCTTATTTTTCTTTTTTGCTTTTTTTTTAGATTAGTCCAGTGTTTTCTCAAACCAAACTCACTCCTGTGGAGTAGGATCTGACTCACAGCTACCCCTCCTTGGATTTCCAAGGCAGCATCTCTATGGAAGAGGATTGCCTAGTCTTTCTTCCAAGGAGTGGCTGGTGGGTTCAACTACCGGCCTTCTTCAGTATTTTCTAATAGTCCACTTTTTTTCTCCTCTATTGGCTTATACTTCTTCATTTCATTTTATTTTTCACAGTTAATCTAGATTTTACAAGTTTTATTTTTATCAGTCTACTTTCAAATAATACTATGCCACTTCTTACATAATGTAACAATCTTAAAACAGTATACTTTCAAAATCTCACCTCTATCTTTTGTGCTTTTGTCATTATATATTTTATTTCTACATATATTGCAAATCTCATGATGCGTTATTAGTTTTTGTTTTATTAAGTTAACTTTTATTTAAAAAATTTAAAGAAAGAGAAAAATCCCATTTTATTTTTTATATTTACTGATATAGTTACCATTTCCAGTGCTCTTTATTTCTTTGTAAAAACGTGAATTCCCCTCTGGAAAAACTTTTCATTTGCAAGATAAACTTTCTGTAAAATACCTTGTAGAGAAGGTCTGCTGGTAACTAATTCTCTGTATATAGTGTCTGAGATTATCTTTATTTCATGTTCATTTGTAAGATCTATTTTTACTCATTGCAGTAATACACCAGACAGTGTTTCACTGCTATGTGTAAGGTGTTCACTGGCCAATTCTTTGAAAGGCGGACGGCTGCTTCCTTCTTCCAAGGAGGAGTTGGAGCCAACTCAATGGCACCTTACAACAACAACAGTTTTACTCATAGAGTTTTGTTTTACAGGGTTTTTCTTGTTTGTTTCCTTCAAAGTTACAAAAATGCCATTCCATTAACTTCTCTCCCCCTTTCTTTATTAGATTTAAGCCATAATTTTTATTGTTTCCCTGTATGTAATGTGTTTTTTCAAGATGGATTATTTTTATGGAGGTGAAATTTATCTAACAGAAAATTCATTTACCATTTGAACTGTTTTAAAGGAGCCCTGGTGATATGGAAGGGTAAGCACTCAGCTGCTAGCTGAAATGTTGGCAGTTAGGAACCACCTAGAAGCTCACATAACAACAACAGCAGCTCCACGGGAGAAAGACACTACTATTTGCTTCCGTAAAAATTAAAGCCAAGAAAAGCCTACAGGGCAGTTTATTCTGTCATGTAGGGTCACTATGAGTCAAAACAAGCTTTTTGCAGGCACCTAACAAGCACAATAACAACAATGCATAAATGAACACTGGTCTACATATCTGCCAGCCGAAGCTCCAAGAGCAAGGTTTGGCTGAAGCCCCAGCTGCAGGTTTGGGTGCAGGCTGCAGATGCCTGCAGAGCACTGTGCACTTGCTGCACAGAAGTAGGTGGCTGAGTCAGCCAGCTGGGAAGCCACGATGTGCAAAGAGAAGTGTTTGGCAGTTTTATTGAAGAGGACTGTGAATCTTCCATTTTCCTCTTTACTTGCAACTGAACGTATGGCTATCAAAAATGTAGGGCCTTTACCAGAGTATTGTCGGTACCATGGGAAGTAGTCAAATGCACTGTTATCATAAGCACAATTGAGAATTGAAGTCTTTCCTTCCTGGACTACCAGAGATTGAGGATTTTGCTTCACCTGCTGTTGGTCACTTTTGTCCTTCTGTTGGCCACTCACCCCTGTTGAGAAGAATAATAAAAGGTTATTAGGACTCTAAATTTATATTTCCTTCTTAAAGTTTCTACCTGCATGAGTTTGTATATACTCCAATTTTTTAATTCCCTCAAACTAATGACATTTCCTGGGATTTCTTCACAACTTACAGCCTAGTGGAAGCCATAAAATTAAAAATAATGCTCCTAGGAGCTTGTTCATTCTTCCGGTACTAGAGCTCTGTGACAACCCAGATGGTCTTCTGTTCTTCCCCACAGCTGGAACTCTGTCTGATTTTAAATTCACACCCACTTTAATTCTTTCAACAGGCCCCGCCCCTTCACAAATACTTTCACCTAAGATATTTCTTCAAAGGAACCTCTTCATCATTTTGTCCAACTTAAAATTGTTGCAAATACCTTCATTAAGGATCAAAAATGACTTCCTTTTCCTCACATTTTCTAGAATGTTTAGAACTGTAGACTGAAAAAGCTGGACATGTCAGCAGAGATTACATGCTCCTAAATGCCTTACTCTACAAGGCAAAAGAGAGGGACTGTCATAAGGTCACATGATCACCAGATTCACAGATATTTTTTTTTCTTTTTTTAAACTTATGCTAATTATTAGGCATAATCTTCCATTACAAGCTAAAGTCATGGATCAGAACATAGAGAAGATATATGCTTTCTCTGTCCTCAGGTAACTTAAATTTTATTACAATATTTTATATTTTCATATTTTCCTTGGCTTGATAGTGTAGAGAGTAAGGCATTTGGCTGTTAATCAAAAGGTTGTTGGTTCAAACCTACCACTCTGTCTGCGAGAGAAAGATGAGGCAATCAGCTTCCATAAAGATTTATTGTGTTGTTGTTA